CTGGCTGTCCTGGAACTCACTCTGTAGAGCAGGCTGGCCTCGAACTCAGAAATCCACCTGCCTCTGCCTCCCAAGTGCTGGGATTAAAGGTGTGAGCCACCACCACCTGGCAATTTTTTTTTTCTTTTTCAAGACATGGTTTCTCTGTGTAATTGGCTGTCCTGAAACTTGCTTTGTGGATTCACAGATCTGCCTGCCTCTTCCTTCAGTGTACCACCTCCAGGAATGTACCACCATCACTGGTAGGAGTATCAAAGGAAAGTATCTGCTGGTCCTCAGACAGGAGCATCAAACCTAAGAATGCCATTAACTCTGCCAATCCATAATACAGGCACCCGCACTGCTTTTTCTATGAACTTTGCATCTCTTTCACATCCCTCGACTCAAAAACAAGGGAGATGCTCCAACATTCCTACAGGAAAATCATCTTGAAGCCTGGCCCTTTCTTCTTAGAAGATGGAAGTTGATGCAGGCCGGAGTAGTGTGGAGTCACCGTCCACAGCAGTTCACTGGGGTCTATTTGCAAACAGCTCACCAGGGTTGACTGGCTGGAGGCACAACTGACTTCCAGCTGTGAAGTTTCAGACATTTCAAACATGGCCTTTCTACTCTAACTCTGGGATTTACCAGTGTGACTAAGAGCATGCTTTTGAAATTCTCTAAACCTTACTTTTCTCCTCTTTAAAGTGGGGACAGAAATGGTATCTAGTTCTCAGATTTTCCTCTGAGTTATGAGATGAAATATCAGTGACACATGTGGTGATTTATTGTTGGAGGACAGATGTCATTGGTGCTGGTGTCAAGTTGGGACTGGCACATTTTGTGGTGAGAAATAGATTCAGTATTATTATTTGCATGTGTGTATTCAAATGTGCAAGTGTCTTTGTGTACATGGATGCCTTAGACATTATGCCTTAGTTGCTGTCCACTTTTTAATTTTTTTAGATAGATGCCCTCCTTCCTTTAAGATTGGTTCTCTTCCTGCTCTGGAACTTACCAAGTAGACAAGGCTGGCTGGCCAGTGTGCCCCAGCGATCCACACACCTCCACCTCCATAGCAATGGGGTGACCAGTCCACACACCACGCCTGGCTTGTGTGATCGTGGGAGCACACATGCCACAGTGCACATGTGGGGTCAGAGAGCAGCCCTGAGTGTCATCCTTAGCGCCTACTCTGTTTGAGAGAGAGTCTTTCTTGTTCACTGTTGAGCATTTCAGAGGAGGTGACCCAGGAGCTTCTGAGTGAGCATTGATAATTGTCTTATTTCTGCCTCCCATCTCCCAGGAAGGGGTGTGCTGGGATCCTGGCCATTTGTGCTTTTGTGTTACGGTGTCTGGTGTTTACCTGGGTTCTGGGGAATCAAATTTAGGTTATCAGGGCTGAGCGGCAAATGCTTTATGCTTTATGAATTAAGTGAAATACAACTCCCTGGCACCCAGTTTTTTGGTAGTTTTTTGTTGTTTGTTTGTTTGTTGTTGTTTGAGTTCTACAGATAACGCTCAAGTCCTTAGGGTTGGAAGACAAAGGCTTTATTGACAGAACTATCTCTGTGGCCCCCCCAAAAAATAGCATTACCAGGGCGAAGAGTCCACTTTTTTATGCTGAAAACCTCTGCTGAGGTACGCGCCACACAACCCCATTCACACTTTAGTAGGGAGTGGACGCACCAGTGCTCAGGCTACAGAAATTCCAAAATTGCTTCTGCCTTCTTCCTACACTCTGAGTGACCCCTCAAAAGCCTACCTTCTATTTACAAGTCATAACCTATATAGAAAGTCATAGGCATACACAAAATACAAATTATGACCTCAAAAGAGCAAAAGTAGAAAATGTTTGATTCTCAACCTTGAAGAATATAGGAACATAGTGCTGTACAGTGGAAAATTGGAATTTTAACCTTTGGAACTGGAGAGATGGCTCAGGGGTTAAGAGCACCCAGGTTGATCATCAGCACCCCCACCCCCACCCCCCAGCCATGGTGGCTCTAGTTCCAGGGATCTGATGCCCTCTTCTGGCTTTTGAGGGCACTGCTTACAAGTGGTACACAACCAGCTTGCACAAGCAGCAAAACCACATATATGCATAAAATAATTTAAATAAAAATAATTAAATTTCTGCCTTTGGTGCATGAGGGTTGTGTGTGGTCAAGCTCCTTCTCCAGTCACACACACCTCACACTTCAGTGGTTTCCACTTTGAACAAAAAGATGTCCATACACAGAAAGGAACCAGTTAACACCCCCTTGGTTGTAAACCGTGGCTATAGCCCCTTGCCTCTTCCCATGTCCATCTGTTTAGTGCTACAGGAGAGACAGTGATGGTGGCTGATGGCAGAGGTGCCAGCTCTAGCGTGGTGGAGACACAATGGCCACTGCTTCCTGCAGAGGCTAGGATATGAGCCTTCTTGTGCCAGAGCCAGCTGGAAATCTACTAACCAGAAACCTTGGACTCTTTGGGAGAAATCGGAACTTCTACTGTAAATTTGAAGAGGAGCCAGGGAGAACCCTGTTCACTAGGTAGCCAGGGCTAGATGATTCAGATGCTGAGGGTTTTAGAGTCACCTTTGGTCCCAGCTACTTACCGCAGCTGTCCCCCTCCCAGATGCCGAAGGTCTTACACGCTCATCACACCTGTGGAAAGAAGTTGAGGTCATTTCTTTGAAGAGGCTGATAGCACATTAGCACATTTACCGTTTACATGGCCAATAGCCATTTACCATTACACGACATTATCAAGAAGAATGAGATGTAGTCTTAATGCCCCATAGAAGCACACCTCTTGGTTAGGGTGTCACTGAGCAACATTTCAGAAAACTTTTCCTGCAATTGTTTGGAACTGATATCTCTCTTTTTGCCATCTAAGTAGCTTTGCATTTGAGTACAACATAAAAACACGTGACAAGCTGTCTATATCAGTTGAATGCTCATTGTGTGGCTGGCACTGCTCTCACTCAGATACCCCACACCTTTGAGGCAGAAGTCACGGCTGCTTCCTTTTCACAGATGGTAAAATAAAGTATGGGGAAGGTGGGTGCCAGCTGTCAAAATGTATACTTGTCTTTAACCAGCAGAGTACACTGTTTCTTTGTAAGTAGAAACATTTCTGAGTCTGGGCATTTACATTTTAAAGAAAATTACATCAGAGCCAGAACTAATTTATAAGAACCACTTAAAAAACAAATCTCACCAAAATTGCTTCTGGGTGCTTTAGCTTATAAAGACCCTGATTTGAAGTGACATTATTTTGGAGGTAAGCAAGTATGTTTTAACTGTTTACACTGTCTCTCTCAATTCGACAATAAGGAGAAAACTTAATAATTCCTAAGTCCAAAGTTGAGATATGGCTGGCAACATGGTTTATTAGGCAAAGGTACCTGCCACCAAGCCTGCTGACCAGAGCTGGATCCCTAGAGCCTACATGGTAGGAAGAGAGAAACAGCTCCACAAATTGTGCTCTGACCTCTATACATATACTGTGGTATGCATGTGCCCCAACATATACACAAAATAAATAAATATAAAGATAAAAAGGCATAGGTGTCAGCTTGTCCATCTATAATCCTATGCCTATCTGTGCTCTTCCCAATCCTAATTCAGGGTTTGTAGACTTGTAATGATTGACAGCTCTTTGTGAAGTAGGGCATCTCCTCCACACAGCAGCAGCGTGGGGATCAGGAGTTACACAAGTTGTGGCTGTGGATGGGAGCAGTCAAGAGTGGCAACAGCTGTCCTTCATCTAGTTCCCTGATTCATGGTTCATGAAAGTCAACCATGAAAGCTGGGAGGCCAAACAGTTTTATATTTTAAAGACATCCATAGCTGTATTATAGTTTATCTCAGATTTTGAACAGAAATTGAATTACGTCATGGATAGTTTTCAGACTATTCTTAAATATTAGTTCTACTAATAACACTCTGCATGTTAAACACAAGTCAGGATTCCTTACTTGTCAAGACTACTTGACACTTGGGGTTCCTCAGAGCAGCGAAACAAACAACTTGAAGTCAAATGATGGGTTCAAGCTGATGGCCTGTGCTCTGCTCAAGATGGCTCCCTAGACAGCTCTCTGTAGATAGCTTTTGGTTCTGTAATCTGCTCAGGACAGCTTTCTGCTCAAGACAGCTCTCTCTCTCTCTCTCTCTCTTTTTTTTTTTTTTGTTTTTTTTTGTTTTTTTTTTTTTTGTTTTTGATTCTTCAAGACAAGGTTTCTCTGTATAGCCCTGGCTGTCCTAGAACTCACTCTGTAGATCAGGCTGGCCTCCAACTCAGACATCTGCCTGCCTCTGCCTCTCAAGTGTTGGGATTAAAGGTGTGTGTCACCACTGCCCAGCAAGACAATTCTCTCTTGTTAGAAAAAATTTTAAAAAGTTCTCTGGATAGCTCATGGATTCTCCAACCAGGAAAGCTGCTATAAAAAAATTCTTGGATTTTCTAGAAAAAGAATTCTAAAAGAGCTGTGTTCATTCTCTAAACAATCTTCTCTGCATAGCTGCTAGAAAGAAATTCTCAGAGTTGTGTTAACTATCTTAAGTAATTCTTAGGATTTCTGACCAAGGACAGAAATCCTGTTAGAAAAAATTCTAAGGGCTGGAGAGATGGCTCAGTGGTTAAGAGCACTGACTGCACTTCCAGAGGTCCTGAGTTCAAATTCCAGCAACCACATGGTGGCTCACAACCATCTGTAATGAGATCTGATGCCCTCTTCTGGTATGTCTGAAGACAGCTACAGTGTATTCATATATAATAAATAAATAAATCTTAAAAAAAGAAAGAAAGAAAGAAAGAAAGAAAAAACTCTAAAAGAGCTGTGTTCGAACTCCAGAGATCTTCAGATAGCTCAGCTCTCCTAAAAATAGAACTGCTATCACTCTCTGCTAGTTCATCTCACACAGACCAAAAACCCAGCCTTTTATTCACATATCATCTCAGTTATTTATTCCAGGTTCCCTCTTGACTGTCCACAAATCAGCATTCCATGAGTTTAGCCCCTTGACTCTTGGGTTTCCTTAGGATAGCAAGCACTTTTTTTTTTTAACATTGCAATGAATTCAAAGATCTGCCTGCTTTTGTAAACTTAGCTGGGTGGGGATCCTGTCCTGAGATTACTATTCAAACCATGCCAGGATCTAAATTTACTCTCTCAGGCTGACCTTGAACTCAGGACTCTGTCTCCCTTTGTATCTTTATGACAAACTGGTTTACAGTTCAGCTGCTTCGATTCTTTTAGATCTGTGAAGCTCCTTATATAATTCATATAGCATCCTTACATTTTACATAGTTGAGAAATTATATAATTTTGAACTCGTGTTTTCAGAGTTCTTTTCCACAGCCTTGAGAGCCATCCTGAAGGTCTCAGTGTTTACCATTTTGCTGAGACATAAGCCACTCCGTCACCTCACATACTCATGCTGTCTCTGATTATCATAGAGTCATTGACCTTGGCAGGGAAAATATTTTGTGAAGGAGGAATATGAAGCAAAAAATATATACTTTTGAAATATAAACAAGCCTTATGCCCACAGCAACCATGAACACTCGTGGGGCCCCATGCCCTACTGTCTCTGCTCCAGTGGTGACAGCCATGTCATACTGTCCCTGCCATAGTCAAGCTAGACTGGCAGAATTTGAGGATATTTGGATTAGAAGTGTACACATTGGTTAATTTGTTCACTTGGCCTTGTGAACCAGTTTTGCTATGCAGCTCTGGATAGCCTGAACTCATTGTGTAAATCAGGTAGGCTTTGAACCTGCCACAATCCTACCTCCACCCCCTAAGATTACAGGAGTGTATTACCTCTTCCCACATTTATTCCTCTGTCTACACTTGTTGAAGCTGTGTTCTTCCTACAAACTGTGCACACAAACCAGTATCGTTTTGAAATCTTTGAAGAAAACAAAAATGGCTGAGACAGGAACCCTGTTTTCAGAATGCTTTTAACCAAAGGAAACATAAAGAGCTGTAATACCACATTAGCCTTGAAAAGGAAGATAAGAGCAGCAAGTAAGTGTGTGGACAGTGTGGAGTGGAAACACATGCAGTAGGGAGGAGGTGGCAGAGAACTGTCATGGAGGTGAAAGGGAAGGATGAGCCAAAGCTGGGAACCTGGTGCATGCCTGCACTTTCTTCTTCAGGAAGAAGAGGAGGATCATCACACTAGAGGTCAGCCTGATCTATACAGCAAGGTCCAGGTCAGCCAGGCCTGAGTAATGAAACCCTGTCTCAAAAGCAAGCAAGCGCGGGGCAGTGGTGGTGCACACCTTTAATCCCAGCACTTGGGAGGCAGAGGCAGGTGGATTTCTGAGTTCGAGGCCAGCCTGGTCTACAGAGTGAGTTCCAGGACAACCAGGGCTACACAGAGAAACCCTGTCTCGAAAAACAAAACAAAACAAAACAAAAAACCAACCAAACAAAAAAAAAACCAAAACAACAACAACAAAAAAAAGCAAGCAAGCCAGGGAGCAAGCAAGCAAGCAAACAAACAGTAAAGGGCTAGAGAGATAAGATAACAGTTAGGAACTCTTCAGAGGACCCAGGTTTAGTTCCCAGGACCCACATGGTGGCTCACAACCATTATCTGGGAGATCTGACACCTTCTTCTGGCCTCCGAAGGCACCAGGCATGCACCTGGTACACAAATATACATGATAACAGAATACCCATTAAATACATAAAATAAATAAAATTAAAAATAAACAACGAATGAATGAATGAATACTCTACCCTAAAACAAAGGCCTAGAGATAGGAATGTTACCAGATTGGGTGGGAACTGGCAAGCAATTCAGTTAGCCTGGAGCCAAGAGTACAAACCAGGTTGTGTCAGTTATAACTCTACAGGCTGCAGCCCACAGCTAAGCTGTCACTACCTCACTAGGTCTCCTATCTGATATAGAGTCAGAGCAACAAGGGCAGCAGGCTGAGAAGGCTGAATAAGTGGGACAGAGGGCTGAAGGGACAGAGGGTGTCTGTATCACAGACCCATCAAGTACGGGTACACAGAGTAGAGTACCCACTCACCTGGCATGCCCTGCAGAGCAGGCTACAATTCACTTTGTAAGAGGGGAACACCCAGCTGCCTGGAGGCCAACATCCTTGCATCTATTGCAGGTCCCTCAGGCCTTCCATAAGCATCATTGATGGCATGAAGGATATGTTGGAAAAAGCCCTCTGGCCTTGGCAAGAATAGCTCATCTTCTGCATTTATTGCCAAGTCCCTAATGATGTCGTAGCTGAGAAATTCCACATACTCCCCTTCCTCCCATTTCAACCATCCTGCCTGATATTCACTTTCTCTCTTCTGAAATCCCCTCCATCCTTCATGCTAACAACTGAGAGATCTTCTGTAAGATTCAAACTCGATCATTGTAATCCTTATCTAAAAATTCCTGAAAGGAATTGTTCAAAATCTTAACGTGATACAAAGTTTTTCTTTAAAAAAATATCTTTTGTTATTATATTTGTATGTTTAGCTATTTAGTTAGTGTATGTTTAAGTGCATCTACACCAGAGTGCATGGAGAGGTCACAGGACAGATTGCAGGAGCTTGTTCTCTTTCCATCACATAGGTCCTGGGGAATCACACTTGGGTCGTCAGGTTTGGTGGCAAGTGTCCTTACCTGTTGAAGCATCT